GTAGTTGATGTTCAACCAAAGTAAAGTCGTTCCAACAGTGTTGTCCACAACACCAAAAATGTATATCTATCCAACCAAATCCCAAAAGAGTCCACTCTTCACCTTCCAACCAATCCTATGGCGGCACTCGAGATTTTTCCCCTATCTCGCTGAAATTGGCCTTGAGCCACGAGTCAAAAGGCACATAATGAATGTGCTTTCCCCTGACAGGAAACAATCGAAGGTGTATGCGGCAGCAGCAAGTTACGAAACTCACACTGGTCTCTTTTCTATGTTCGATTGTTTCACCCATGTGACACCATATTTTCGATTCGAGTTCTGTTTGAGGGTCATTTCTTCATCGTAGATTCTGAATCTTCCCAACTGCAAAACGGTGCGTAAGAAAGTTGAGTCCATGGACTTCGTTAGGCAGTCTGCCAACATGATAGCAGTGCTGATCCAGCGGCATTGGGTATGGTTAGCTGATTGTTCCTTCAGCAACATGACTTCTATGGTGGTACGCCACACCTGGCAATTTGGCACTGCAGTCTTCGTGACTAAGTCATATAAGGATTTACAATCAGTGATCATTAACCCTGGTGGTTCTACACAAAGAGACTTTTCAGGTTTATGCCAAGCAAAAGAGGGATCCTTTATGTAACCCCACATGCATCTAATCCACGTTAACTTATCTAGTGAACTGGACATAGCGTATGCTTCGGCACTCAAAGTAGAACGAACCACCCTACCAATCTGTTTGGTATGCCATGCAACTGGAGAGAAGTCTGTCGTCTCATTGTTTGCTAGTTTCCGTGTGCATGCCATGATAAAAATCCCTTGCTGGGCTGACATCTGTTTGGCCGAAGCGAAGCTTGCATCACCAAAGCTTGCGAAACAGAGCTCCGTCATGGGGATCGGACGTACGATCACAGAGGTGTTGGCAAACTCTTGGGTTTCTTTGAGTACTCGATTTGCATCTAGCAGAGTTTGCACGGTCGCCTTGGTAATACCCTTCTGCAGGTGCGCAACTTTTGCGGCCACATCGGGCCGGGAATGCACTGCGGCGTATTGTAGGCTCCCGCAAATCCCCCTTAGTTTATTTAACTCCTGTGGAGTGATAGGGCTATCAACTTCTGCTCTACGGAGTTTAGGGATGTCTATGGGAGTTATTCTTTGGACATATTTTTCTTGGCTAACTTTGATAGAAAAATCCGGCAACTGTTCTATTTCAAGTCCTGTGAAACGGAATTTGAGTTTTTCATGTGAGCCAAAAGGAAGCTTTTTCTGAAGTTGTTGTAGGGCATAGCTAAATTTGTGGTTACCTGCCCCCAAACCGTCATCCACATGAGTACCCACTATCCCATTGAGGATCTTTGGATCTTTGGGGTCTCTTAACAAGTACAAACAATTGTCCAAGGGATGTGCGGTGAAACCTACTTCTTCTAAGCATTTCCGAAATTCGCGATAGAATAACAAAGGGGCATCTACCCGTCCATAAGCATTTCCTTCTAGTAGGCAGATCTGATGTTTTTCCATTCCAAGCAGTTCTCTCAACTCCTTTGGGGGTTCCATTGCTAGTTGACGATCATCGGATTTCCCTCGTAGAAAGGCAGTAGTGATGTCAAAGCTTTCAATACACCATTTGTGGCTGGCAGCTGTCTGGAGTAATAACATCCTGCCATCTCGGGTGAGAGTGGGACTATCGGATGCTAATTCCCCAATGTCGGGGTCCTGAAAACCTTTTACCACAAGTCGTGCTTTTGGTTTCTTTCCATCTTCGCTATTTTCATCTTCCTTCCAAGTCAGTATCCATCTAGAGGCTAAAACTCTGGAGGGGTGAATTTTATCCCGAACTATGGTTCTTACCGTTTGAGTATCCAACCAACAATTCAATTCCTTCAACTTGGCTTGCTTGAACCTCTCTCTCTCTTGGGGTGTCAAGTCACTGTAAACAAGTTCTTTCCCAAACTTGCGGGCTGCGGCATTGACCTCTGGCAGGTGCTCTTTGGGAGATTTGAGGAACTTATGGAATTGTTGTTTTGGCATTTCAAACTCAAAAGACACACACGCTGCTTCGCAAGGGTCGGGCATTGACCAAAGAGCGCCATCGTCATGAACACAGTCTGTCGTCTCGGTATTCTTCTCGATGATAACAGCATTATACACAGGTTCCATGTTACTCGGAGTTTCATTTTCCGACTGATCTGTGTCCAATGATGCAGTGTCAGGAGCAGATTGTGCCAGGCTCGGGCTTGGAACCATTGATTCAGGGCTTTCTTCACTATTGGAAGAAAACGGGGAGTCTGGAACAGGCGTTTCGACCGCAGGGTCGTGCATGGTTTCGTCAGGAATTTCGATCTCACCTCGTTGGCGTCTGATTGGTTCTTCCTCTGGTTGTCGAGAGGTCGAAAGTTCGCTATTGCCATCGTTTGCCTCTTCTTCTGTTGGAGGATTCACCTCAGATAAATCGGAGTATTGAAACATGCCACTCTTTTCTTTCAACTGTGTCTGTAAACGTTGTGCCATTTGTTTCAATTCTTCTTGGGTATTTGAAGTTGTAAAAGTGGAGTGTCTTTGAAATTCACGCATGGAAACTGGTCTGAGATTTTCATGGGCACATCTTAACAACCGATTCATGTGAGTGATCCATATGATTGTTCTTGATTCCTGGCAAACTACCTGTGCTGGACCACACCATCGTCCTTTCTCCAATATGTTCGGGGCTTTTCGTTTATCCCAAAACATGCACAACTGTCCACACAGCCATTCATGTATCACACCTCGTGACCTATGAAGGGCTGCTCTGCGAATTGCAGCATGATTGTCAGCATGCCAGAAAGCTGCTCTTGCGGCTGTCCGCAATTCAAGACTTCGCTTAAACTGCTCGGATGCTGGATCGGGTGAAAGGCACATGTGATGAGCAGTTGATTCTTCGTCTGAGAGTAGTGACCCAGGAAGTTTAGAGGCCTTACCTAGTACAGCTTGTTCTGGACTATATCCGTTATTCACTATCATAGAATTTTTCGCTCGGAAACGCTGGTTAAGAGCCTCATCTATTTCAGCTAGACTGGTGAAGTTCTGTGCATGGTCCATTCTTTCAAGCATTTCCTTGATCACACCTCCATGTCTCTCGATACGACCACGTTGCCACGGAGCGGCAGTGAGCACTGGCTGAATGCTGTGGGCTTGCAAAAAATCTTTCCATGGCTGGGATACAAACTCTCCACCTTGATCATGTAGTATTTCCTGTGGGGATCCTGCCCATTGAATCCACATCTGTTTCGTTGTACGGATGGAGGCTTGGGTATCCCGGGTTATCCTTTGACCTAAATGGAAACGGGTAGCATCATCTAGGATATGGAACACATAGATTTGAATACCCCTTTTACTACACCAGTCAAAACCATCCAAAAGAATTCTTTCATTAAAATCCTTCGGGTCTTTGAGTTGGCCGGGAGTAGTCTTTTGTGGTGGGTGTCTCTCAGCGCATGACGGACACACAAAGTCGGCAGCACCTTCCACCAGGTGTTCATGTGCTTTGGATTCCTTTAGATGTCGGGCCAGTCTTTCGGCTGTGGGGTGTCCTAGATTATTATGAATCTTGCGCAACATGGACTGTTGCTCTCGAGTAAGTTTCAAGAAATTTGGGCCTGAAACAGTGGCACTTAAAGGAGTCCAGCTGGGCACATCTACCTGCACTGGTGGACTGGCTGTTGATTCAGCGGCTGTTGTCTCAATTGATCCATTGGCGGGATTGGCTGCTGGCATTATAGGTGTATCAGGTCGGCTGTCATCTCTGGAAAACAAACACAACATGATATGGCTTGGCACCTCTTTTCGACAAGCCCTTTTCCGAGTTAATTCACTCCAAACTTCAAGTCCTAGGTCAATTATTTCATGAGTGAATCTTTTCTGTACTATGCTATGTCTTTTCGGCAGCTGATCTCTCCAAGCCTCTTCGCCCAACAAAAGACGATCTAGGCCTTTTCCTGCTTTGACTGCACCAATGTTCTCATGTGGAAACAGTTTCTGAATTTCCTGGAAGACTTCATCTTGCGGGTCTTCCCAAGTGACAACACCTGATTTGGGAAGTTTTCTCTGTAGAAATTCAAACATTGGTTTCCACACGTTCGTGGTGTCGTGTGGTGCAGAGGCTTCACCAGAGTTGGTACGTGCCCTTTTGGCAGGTGGCTCTATTTCATCTACATGGCAAATTGGCGCCTCATAGGGGCCTTGGGATGTTTGCATGATTCCACGGACAATGGTCAGCGCAAGCTTGCGTGGATAGAAAGCAGCAAACCTGGACACGGAAATGCTATGACCCTTCCACTGACATCTTCCTGCTATGGTACTATGACTATGTTCACGATTGCAAACACGGCAGTCCAAAACGGAAAACATCTCAACTGAGGTGGTTTGTATGCGAGTGGATTTTCTCATCAACTGATTTTCACTCGGATGTCTCAGGCCAAAAGCACATTGGTCCAGCTGGGCCGGAATGGAACGCTTCAAAAACGGCTGTATCTCCTGCTGCTTCCAAACGCCGGAGGTTTTGGGACTTTCGAGATGGGTGTGTCTACCTTCATCATGCTGAATCTGAGCTACCACATTACACAACACCAGGTGTTCTTTGGCAAGACGTTGTTGGTGCATGACTTGTTCAAAACTTGATAGGCTCATGGAGTTAAAACGGTTCCAGGCACACCAAGGACCACATTCCGGTGCAAGCCAAATATGTTTTGGTCTCTGTGTCTTGATGATGTGAAATAAAGCTCTTCTTCCAGTAGGTGTTGATAAATCCCCATCCTCATATGTAAACCTCCTTGCTCGCAAACCATGTTCTTGCGCCACGGTGGTCAACATGCTGTTCGGGAACGCATACACTTCTAAGATGTCCAACGGTTCTGACTTGTGAGAACTACTTTCTCAGTCAGGCAGTCGCATTTCATTCCACAGTTGTCTTTCTTTGAAGCTAGATTTATGTGACATCCTAGAATCTTGAAATTCCTCCCAATTGCCTCTCATGGAACCGGGTTGTTGGCCAATTGCTCCAGTTGATTGCGAGCTCGAGCATAGCTTGCGAAATCTGCCACATCCTCGGAAAGGTTGTCGGCTCTGGCCAGAATCCACTTGATGTAACCTGGGTCGGACTCGTACACATGGGCGTAACGAGACCTCAGATGCTTTTTGCCAAAGCCCACGATCTTGTTTCCCCAGCTTTCGAGGGATGCTTGAGTCACCATCAATTGGCTTCCAATCTCGGAAGCTGCGTAGGACGATCCTGGGCTTCCCATCATTGCAGCTGGTGGTCGGGCACTTGGTGTCATTGACACATGCGGCATGGGCTGTCTCACTGGCATTGGAGGCTGATTGTTGGGAACTCTGACATTCATCATCACAGCAGACATCGATTGGGAAGAATTTGGCACCGTTGATGCAGCTTGGCCTTGTGATGGCACCATCTCGGCTTCCCATTCGAAATCTTCTGATCCTGGAACATGGTTCACCGGGCTCACGGTAGGTCCTGGACATGTGGGTGGCTTCTGTTGGAACTGAGCTTGAATCAGATTCCCCAACTGATCGATTGTCCGACGTTGTTGGGCCACTTCGTGAATCAGCTGATTCACCGGATTCATCTGGAGCTCCGTGGCTTCCTGGTTCGGGTCGATCGCACTGGTCATGGTGAACACAATGGTCATCAGGAGCTTCAGACTGGCTAACACTTCCTCTGCCACTGTGCGAAGAGCATCGAGCACTTCCTGGCGTGTCGGCATGACTGACAGGAATCTCACTTTCCAGACCTGGAGGCGGGGCACAGACACTTGATGCGACAAAAGCTGCTGCATTGGACTTGACATCAGGTTGACAAAGATCGGACATGTCAATCATGAACAACCCATTCTTGTTTTCTTTCAAATACAGTGACCTTTGCAGTGTCTTGAGGAAACATGTATTTTGTCCTAGGTCTATCATGGCTCCTAAACTCTTCATGGTCTTAATAGACAGCAGGAAAGGTGTGGCCTTCGGCACTACTTCAATTAGCAACCAGATTCGGATTCTCTTGTGGACCAATGGTATGCGCAGCTGTTTGTAGCTATATGCAACTTGGTTATTTCCAAAACGAAATCCTACTCTACTGGGCTTTTCCACGACTTGGTCACGGACACTGGCTGGCAGTTTTTGGAGCATCGCGGGGACATGGTCTTGTCCGATCACACTGCGACTGGCACCTGTGTCCAGTATGGCCATTCCTTGACTTTGCATGGCATCTGAGTGATTCTGGCTGACAAAACCATCAGCTCTATTGGTTGGTCTCGGATGCATCTTCCTGGCGGCATGGGTGTGGAGTGCTGTGGTCACCACTTCTGGTTTCAGAACATTCTCCGGACCACAATTCTTTGTTACCCCATTATACCCAATAACCCCTTTATTACCCCGCTTATACCCCGGCTTATCCAGTTTCTTACCCCAAAAGGCTTTCACGTCTTCAACATTTTGTTTGCACAAAACTGAATTTCGGTGGCATGAGGCAACGAAACAGGTTTCACAACGGATGCACTCCTGTTCACTCAACGCTTCAAAGACCACTTGGTTGGTCTCCTCTTCGGCATCGGATGCTTCGGATGGCATGGAGAAGGCAACGTTGGCTGACTCACGGGTTTCTTTCCTCTGAGGGCATTCTGCACGCCAATGCCCAAGGGCACCGCAAAGCTTGCAATGCGTTTTCGCAATGCGAGCCAGCAACTCTTCTTTTCCAGACTTTCCACCACCTTTGCGGTATGGCCGGGATCCATCTTTGAACCCACCTTTCCCTTTTCCTTTTCCAGTGGGCCAAAACCCTCGGCTACGACGGCGATCATTGATCCTCTGCCTAGCCTCATTGTATGAGACCATTGCTTGTTGCATATCAGGAATCTCTTGCAGCATCTCTTCGAAATCACGCTCAAACTGTTGCACTACGTTGGCATCCTCATCTCCCTGAGACACTAGGTATTCCAGATGCTCGGTTGTCAAAACATCCTCTTCCTCATGGTATGCAACGTAAGTGCTCTGAACCGGAAGGCTTTCATCAGATTGGGCAGGTGGCTCTTCCACCTCTGTGAAATTGATTGGGTAAATCTTTTTCTTGGTTTCACCAGGGCCCATCAACACACGTGTGGACAACGACCTCATGGCTTGGTCAACTGCGGTCAGATCCAGCTTACCACCTGTCATCGTCAGGATTTTCTTTTTGTCTTCAGACGACAAACCTGACTGTCTCAACATCACGAAGGCTTGCATTTGTTTGACAGTGACATCATCACCTATCTCATTGAATGCAGCTTGAAGGCGAAGTGAGAAACTATGGGAGGCCTCATCAGACTTCTGTACTACCTTGTAGAGTGCTCGTTCAAACAGTTCATACGTTTTCATCTCTGATGTTTCTTCCCAAGCTGACAAAGCGGCCAACAAGTATTCAACACCTGAGTCGGCCTTGGTGAGCTTCTTCGGATCTAACTGACGCACCTGGGACCAAGCTGTCCCTTTACACAACATAGCTAACCTGGGAGCTAAGTTGGGCTTGTCCTTCTCGGGCATGACACCGTGGATGAACCTGGCTTTCTGTGAAAACTCTCGTATGTCATCTTCACTCGGGTCAAAACTGGGCAGCAAATTCCAAAAATTGGAACCCTGCTGGGAGTCACCGTTCCCATCAGTTGAGGCAGACTCTTTAGGAGGCATTGCTCACTATCCAGAAGCCACAAAACTAGCGGGCCGGCTTTGCGTGCAAGTAGCACGAGCCTCTAGGCTCCGCTACCAGTGTCGTTGGATCGTAGATCGCAACGCCACTGATAACGGTTCCCACCTGAATGGTTCAAGGTCCTCCTTGATCACCAGAAAGTAGTTGATGTTCAACCAAAGTAAAGTCGTTCCAACAGTGTTGTCCACAACACCAAAAATGTATATCTATCCAACCAAATCCCAAAAGAGTCCACTCTTCACCTTCCAACC